CCTGCCCCTGCCCTGCCCCTGCCCTGCCCCGGGAAAATTTCTGGTCCCAGTCCTGCCATCAGATAGGCTGTCTAGGCTCAAAACCCAAAGGACACCAGTCCAAGCTCCCTTGCCACCAAATCCCATTTGCAAAAAGCAGGACAGGGAAGGGGAAGAGGGATTTAAGAAAGCAAAAGCAAGGAAGGGAAGAAGGAAGGAAGGGAAAGGAAGAGGAAGTAAAAGAGGGAGAGAGAGGTAGGTGCTGGTGAGGACTTCCTGGTGAACCTGGGGGTTAAGGACAGCACAGAGGATTGTGAAGGGAGTTAGCTTGGGGGTGGCTATGGTTTGAGAGGAATCAGAGAGGTCATTTAATCCCCAAGGCTGAAGGATTCCCTGGAGTGGAATAATAATCACTACTTACTTTACTCTTCTTACACACCAGCCCGTTCTCAGCACCGCACAGAATGCTCACTCCTGTATTCCTAGGGGCTGCCTATTTTGTACTAGTATTACCTCCATCTTACAAATGAGGAAACGGATTAACTCACCCAAGGTCGTGCGAATAGAGAGTGGTGGGAATCTGAGCCCAAGCAGCCACAGTTTGGGCCCTTGCTCAAACTCAACTCCTCCGCAGACCTAATCGCTCCCTCATCCCAACATCTGGCCTGAGAGCTTTAGTTTTCTACTAAAGGAGGCAAGAAGATGGCTGAGACCATTTTTAACCTGAGACTTCTAGGTTAAAAAAAACTAGAGCCTCTTCCCCTGAGAGAAGCCCTTGCTGCCCCCACTGCACCCCCTTGCAGGGCTTCAGAGGGCATCCTCAGTCACTTTCCAGCCACTTGTGGGAGTTCCAGACACAGCTTCCAGACGTTTCTTGGCTTTAGCCTACCATAAGGTCACTGGTATTGAGTGTCTATACAGTTCGGGACTTATGTATCCAGATGCTGGATCCTCTTGTGTATGGATGTATCTACATGTCCAAGGACTGGTCTGTAATACCTAGCTACATCTACCAGTTGGAAACCTGGTTCTGGGCCCACACGCGATTGTTGGAATAGCCAGGTGTGGGCATGCAAGCTGCTGCCAGTTGCAGAAGTGTGTGCACATGTGTCTCTCTAAGGGTGCATGGGTACCTGAGGGTGGGTGTGGATTTAGGGTGTATGAATGTTTCGTTGTGTGCAACTTCCCAGGTGCTTTTTGGATATGTGCGCGAGTATGCAAATCAGCATGTGGCAACATCACCCGTTAGCCACAGGGCCTTCCACTCCCTCCCCTGGACCTCTGTCATCCCTGTTTCTCATCTCCACTGGGCTTGTATTTTTCCCGGGCTCTGGGGGTGCCAGCTGGGATCAGGTCTGTCCCTAGGGAGTCTGGGGCCTAATGTGCTTGCAGCGTGAGTTCAGAGACCAAACCCCACTGCATCTTGTTTATTGACTCACGCGTCTAGTAAACTCAGCACGCCACACTGCTTCACGTGGGCTCTTCTTGGGCTCCCTCAGGGAAAGAGCTCTCTGGAGCTTGTCTTCCAAGGGCTCTCAGGGAGACTGTTCCCTGAAGACTGAGAATACCACATAAACAGTCTTGGCAAAGCACAGAAGCCAGGCCTCCTTTACTGTGGCATTTCTTACCTCTGCTCCCCATGCTTTTACCCGTTCTCAGAGGTCTCACACAGTTACCTTTCAGTGTCCCATGTGGCAGCCATGGACGCATACTGCTCAGAGCTCCCCTGGACGAAGAACATGCTTTTCGGCTGTGACAGTGCAGTTAGCTGACAGCCTCTAGCTGCTAGCACCCCTGGTTCTGCTTCAGCTTTCGTCCAGAGGCCACACTCCTCCCCCGAAGCCTTTTGCCAGTGACTGAGCACAGCAGGGTTATGAGAACCTGGCCAGCTCTCCCCAAAGCAGAACTCCCCCCAGGGGCAGTCTGCCCTGGATCTCCCACAGGCCTGCATCGTGCTGGACTCTCCCTGCCCCACCTCTCTTCTTCCCCTCCAACCTTTCACTAGTGTCAGCTCTGCAGCTGAGCAGATCAGCATTGTGGTCTACATGCTTCGTATCCCTTTATCTTGAATTCTCCCAACCAACCTCCTGCATTCCTAGCTCTGTCTCTGGGTCTTCTTCCCAGAGGACACATTGCTTTATTTTATGCTCATCCAGTCCTGGGAGATCTGTGTTTTAGAGAGGTGCTTAACGTGCATCATCACCTGAGGATCTTGCTAAAATGCAGACGCTGGTCAGCGTGGGCTTAGACTGTTATTTCTTTCTTTCTTTCTTTTTCTTTCTCTTTCTTTTTTCTCTTTCTCTCTTTTTCTTTCTCTTTCTTTTTTTCTCTTTCCTTCTTTTTTGAGACTTTTTTGCTATAGGGCATATGCTCTCACTAGAGAGCCAGATATAAAGCAAAAAGTCACCCACTTCCCCCCATCCCCCCAGGGGGATGACCATGCTGCAATCCCTTCTCTTCCATTCTCTTCTCCGGATTTTGGGTTTGCACGTACACACTCACGATATGAGTTTCAAGCCACTGGGCCTGGGACTCAAGCCAAGGTCGACCACATGGAAGTCCAGCGCCCCAACCACTATGCCACCTGCTGGCCCCTAGATTGTGTTTCAAACACGCTCCCAGGTGATGCTCATGCTTCTGTCTATACATCACACTTTGCTTTTTTTTTATAATTATTTATTTTATTTATTCATTCATTTTATTTTTTGGTTTGACCAGAGAGAGACAGAGGGTGAGAGTGAGAGAGAGATGAAGTGAGAAAGCAAGCCACCAGATTCCGGACTCGAACCCTGGTTGGCCATGTGGGAATGTCCAGCGCCTTAACCACCACGCCACCTGCTGGTCCCATATAGATCACACTTCGAATAGCAACCACATGGCAGACAAACCCTCTTTCTCCAAGGAATGATTTGTAACACTTAGATACATTCACCAGAAGGAAGCATGCCAGTGGGAGGTCTTCTCTCAAGTCGAAGGACCGGTCCTAGTAGTTCACATAAGGATGGGCATCATGTGCTGAACCAAAGAGAAAAGGATATTACCCAGAGTAATTATAAGAAAGGCAGTGAAGGGAAGGAGGGCTAGGCTGGGAGAGAAAGGAAAGGAAGAGGACAGAGAGGAGAAAGCATCCTAATGGCTTGGTAACCCAGTCCAGAGATATTTATTGGTGACCGACTATGTGCAAGGCATTGTTCCAGATGCGAAGAATATATTGATGACTGAGCCAGACATATTTCCTAACCTGTAGGAAGTGCATCCTGGGGAAGGCAGGAGACACTGAGCATCTCATTTTGCATTATTGTTTGATTACAACCTTCGGGGTACCACCAGCTGAGCCTAACTGTAGTCCAGAGCTTTCTTTATTCTTTTTTCTTTTTTTCTTTTTTTCTTAGGGGTTTTTGCTATATGTGCTCGCCAGAAAGACAGAGAAAGACAGAGATAGAAAGCAAGAAATCACCCCCCAGGGGGGATGGCCACACCACAATCCCTTCTCCTCCATTCTCCTCTCAGGGCCTTGGGCACGCGCACACACATGTCCAGTGTGAGTTTAAGCCACTGGGTCTGGGACTCGATCCGCAGTTGACTACATGGGAGTCTGGCAACATAGCCATTATGCCAACTGCTGATACTTTTCTTTTTTAAAAAATAATTATTTATTTTATTTTGTTATTATTATTCACTTGATGAGAGAGAGAGAGAGAAAGGGAAAGTGAAGAAACAAGCCACCAGATGCAGGACTCGAATCATGATCAGTCACATAGAAGTCTAGCACCTTAACCACCACGCCACCTGCCAGCCCCCCAGGGCTTTCTTGTGGTGGTTATGGGAAAGATAAACTATTCTAAGTGGAAAGAAGAGTGTGTCCTGAGGCCCTAGGAAGGAAGGGACAGGGCTGGTTTGAGGAACTGAAAGGAAGCCAGTGTAGGTGACACGGTGGGCCGAAGAAGAGTTCTGTGAGACTGGGCCAGAGAGGTGGACGAAGGCCAGATTGTGAAGAGCTTGTTGGGTCTTGTGTCATGGCCTCCTCGCAAGATGTAATGAAATCCCCTTGCTCCCACCCTCAGCTACTCCGCGTGTGTCTGTAAGAGCAGATGCGCCGATTTGCTTCTGTTTTAGCTTTCTGTTGCCTGTTTGACACCTTCTCACCTCATTCCTATTAGAGTCTCTTTTTCTCTGTGTGTTTATGTGTGTACATACGGATGGATCTAGCTATCTTTTTTTTTTAAATAAACTGTTGTTTATTTCCCTTATCAACCTTATTTCCACTTTGTATAAGAGTCTGTGGAAAAGCAGGCTTAGGGTTGTTCCCACCCATTCAGTGACCTAAGCCATGGGGGCTGCAGACCAGTCTTCAGTGACAGGTTGACCACTGCAGTCCTCAGAAGGGAGCTGCCGGGTGGGCGCAGAGGACACCTGAGCACTACGGTACTCAGTAGGGAGCTGCCGGGTGGGCACGAGGGCACCTGCACGCCTGCAGACCAGTCTGCAGCCTCAGGCTGAGCAGCAGTAAACTCAGGAGCTGGAGCTATCCATTCACCCTGACATTCCTCCTTGGTCACAGCCTTTTCAGCTGTGGCCTGCTCCTCCTTTTCAATCTCTTCAGGATCGCTGTAGAAGTAGAGGTCAGGGGGACCAGCAGTTAGTGTAACGGCTATGTTGCTGGACTCCCACGTAGTCGACCGCGGTTTGAGTCCTGGACCCAGTGGTTTAAACTCACGCCAGGCACATGTGCATGCGTGCCCAAGATCCCAAGAGAAGAATGGAAGAGAAGGGATTGCGGCGTGGCCATCCCCCCTTGGGGGGGGTGATTTCTCACTTTCTGTCTCTCTGTCTCTCTCTGTCTGTCTGGCGAGTGCACGCATCCTATAGCAAAAACCTCTCCAAAAAAAGAAAAAAAAAAAAGAAGTAGCGATCAGGCCTGACCTCCCAGGGGTGTTCGTGGGAGATGGTGCCACGCATGTGCAGCACTTTCCTGGCCAGCATCCACCACATTGGACCCACTGAGGGAGCTCCCTCGTTGCGTGGAAGGGCAATGTCCACACAGCGCAGAGGAGAATCTGCATAGCACAGGGCAATGGTAGGTGGGTTAACCTAAGACGCCTCTGTGAGAGGCTGGGGGTCGGCCCTGGGATCAGTCACCACCAGAAGACCTGGTTAGTGAAGGCTCCAGGAGCGAAGTGATGCAGTAGGAGCGGCTCTGGTGGCAGCAGCAGACTCAGCACAGCCCTCGGTCCAGTGTCCCTGCGAGACACAGCACTGACGTGGCGGGATTTGCAGTGGCAGCAATGGCTGCTAGGAGCAGCTCCCCCCAGGTCCTCTCAGGTGTGTGAGGCAGATGCCGTTGCTTTCCCTTTTGTCAATGTACTGTTCATTGAGAAGTCGGGGTTGGTGCCACCTAAGTGGGCTCCTGCTGCAGTTCCTGAGGACATCCTCCTCCTTCATTTGCAAGACATCAAGGGGGCCAGACACTGCGAAAGCTTCCTTTTAAGTTAAGACAGGAACCCAGAACAAGGCCACGTGGATGCTTGTTTGAGTAGTGCTGAAAGGCACTGTCTACTTTAATAAAATACTTTTTTAAAAGAATTATTGTTATCTAACTTTATTTATTTTAATTTGACCAGAGAGGGACAGAGTGAGTGAATGACAGAGGAAGTGAGAAAGCCAGGTTTGGGATTCGAACCACGGTTGGCCATGTGGGAGTCCAGCACCCTTAACTACCACACCGTCTGTTTGCCCCTCTAGCTATCTACTTATCCCATCTGCAAATGGTACTTACCACCATTTTTCCATCGATCAACCTACTTACCTACCTATCGTCTGTTTATCTATTTGTCTCTCTATAGAAGATAGCTAGGTAGATAATTACATAGGTAGCTATGCAGCAATAGATGGATTAATAGATCAATACATCGATAACAGAGAGAGGTCTTTTCAGATCAGGAAACAAACTTGACCCCTCTCTGATTGTTTTTTGCAACACCAGACCACTATATTATGCTGTTCATTAAATGTTGATATGTTCGATAAACATCAGGTGCTGACAAACCTGAACTAAGGGAAAGAAACTCTGCTGTTGGAGGAGGAAGAAGAAATGAGGGATGGGAGCCAAATGCTGATTTCTGAGATCGCTACATCCTCAAGGCGGTTATAGAGGTGGTTAAACAACAGACAATACATACTCACGCGAATGGCCAAATGGGAGACGTGGTGAGTTACCCTCGCTTGGGCCCTTACTCAGTACTGCGCTAACAACTACTGCACAAGCCACCTCAACTTCGTGGGTAAAAACGTTTGTATAAAAACGACAGTTTAATCTATTGGATTGTGTCATTTAATTCCCAGTATTTTAGACCTAAAATTACTGTAGTTTGGTTTGTCATACGAGTAAATCAAAAACATGGAGACGCAAGGAACTCTTATCTACATAAAAAAGAAAGAAAGAAAGAAAAACTTCTCTCACTGGACAAAATGTAAAGGAACAGGAGGGGGCAAGAATAAAATTCAACTCTGCATGTGCCACTAGCCTTTCCTGTCAAACGTCAGTTTTGCTCTTCCACCATGGATGGGGGTATAGACCTGGGAGCATCATCAGAAATGAGATGGGAGGGTCCTGGCCACCGCCCAGATTCACGCACCCTGCAAACCAGGTACGTACGACCAGGCAGTCCAAGCCTCAGGGTTCAGGCTGCTGCAGCTCCTTTCCTTCGGGAGAAGAGGAGGCTGCTGCTGAGGGGACCACCTCTCTAAGTCTCTCGGTCAGCTCTTGCAGGGACTCCACCCTCAACACCAGGCATGACTGTGACGGCTTAGATTTCCTAAGAGACGTGCACTTTGAGCTGTTCCCGGTTTCTTTTCTACCATTCTAGCAAACCAGCTACTCTGAATTATCCTCGTCACACCCTTGCTGCTACATATTTGAATTTCTTCTCCAGTCAGAAAAGAAACTGGGGCCAGTCCCAGGGCACAGCCATTAAGTGCTGCCCAGAGGAAGCTGGACCCCACAAAGCTAACTAGGGTTCGAGTCCTGGTCCTGATGGCTTGAGAAACATGTCAGATGCATGCATGCCATGCCCAGGACATTCTGGTGGAAGGGAGAATTAGAGGAAAAAAAGAAACTTAGCCCTGTTGAAAGACTCTCTCTCTCTCTCTCTCTCTCTCTCTCTATATAATTTTTTCTATAGAGCCTGTGTGCTTGCCAGAGAGATAAAGAGACAGAAAGCTAGAAATCACCCCCTGGGGAGATAACATTGTCACAATCCCTTTCCTTTCATTCTTCTTTCAAAATTTTGAGCTCACATGTACATTCACCAGGTGTGAGATTCAAGCTGCCCGATCTATGAGTCAAACTGCACTTAGCCATGTAGGATTCCAGCAATATAAACAGTGTGCCACCTGCTAGTCTCCATGAAATGCATTTTTAGGAAATTTTGTCTTTGTGTGAACATGATAGGTTGCACTTACACAAACCTAGATAATATTGCACATTGCAGATGGAATATATATGGCCTAAACTATTAGCTTATTGAACCACTATCATATATGCTTTTCATCATTGACTGAAATTCCTTGTATCTTTATGGAGCACACGACTCTTTTATATATATATGTCTATACCTATGTGTGAGTGTGTGTGTGTGTGTGTGTGTGTGTGTGTGTATAAACCGAATGAGATTAGCACCTTATCCTTTCCACAAGGACGAAGGATGCTGTCATCCCCAGACTGAGCAAGACTTGTTTCTTTCAGCCTCCCCACAACTCTTCGGTCTTTCTGAAAAAGCATGGAGGTGTCAGGAGTAGAAGAAGGGGCTCCAGTCTCCATGAACTGGACCAGGGAAAGCCAAAGAAAAGGCAGCTTGGTCAACATAAGCCAGGGCGTATCTATCGAATATATCGAAACAGCAAGCCTTATTAATAGGTCCTTGGTAAGCTGGGTATTACTGCTGAATATTACAAGGTCTATAATTCTATAGGATATTACTATTTGCAGTATACATCACAAGAATATGTTATCAAGCAATAATTGGTAATAGAATCACCAAATCCTCTATGCCAGCTGCATTCATCTCACGGATACTGGATCCATAGTAAAAACATTTTAATGAGGAGATCAGCTGTTCTTCCTTTCCCTCCCCTTCCCTTCTCACTTGCCCCTTAATCCAACACCTTGGAAGGAAAGCCTGGAAATGACCTTTCTTTCCTGCTTGAGGGAAGTAGCAGAGGTCATGTAGAGCAAAACAAGTGTGTTTGTGCGGTGTGTGTGTGGGGGGGGTCGTTACTTGCTGTGATGAGAGAAGCAGGAGGGGGCAGAGCAGGAGAGACTGAGGGTTAGAGGAGAGCTAAAGATTATGCTTAATTGACCCAGATCCTGAGAGAGACCTCAGGCAGGCTCTTGTGATTTCCTGTTTGGGAGGATTAATTTGAGAAGCCATTCACAAATCAAGGCTCACATCTGGAGCTGGGCTTTCTCTCTCCCTCCCTCTCTGCCTAGCTAAAATCCCGGAATAAATTCATTAATGGGCCCAGGACATTATGCAGAGACCAAACACAGACATCAAAGTGACCTACATATGAGGGCACCTTCAAAAAGTGAATGAAAACCGTGTATTATGAAAAAACTATACATGCATTTTAAAAAGTTTTGCAGCAAAATAAACTCTCACTTCAATTTAATTTTTTCTTTTTTCTTTTCTTTTCTTTTCTTTCATTTTTTTTTTTTTTGGAGAGGTTTTTGCTATAGGGTGCATGCGCTCGCCAGACAGACAGAGAGAGACATCGAGACAGAAAGCGAGAAATCACCCCCCGGGGGGATGGTCATGCCACAATCCCTTCTCCTCCGTTCTCCTCTCAGGATCTTGGGCATGCACGCACACGCGTCCAGCGTGAGTTTTAAGCCATCAGGTCCAGGACGAACCGCGGTCAACTACGTGGGAGTTCAGTGACATAGCAATTACGCTAACTGCTGGTTCCCTCACTTTAATTTTTCTGCAAATCTTTTGAAGTCCCCTCATCCACAGGGCTGGGAGGCGTAAGAGACGTCTCGCCCTGATGAGCAATGGTTCGCCCTCTCCTCTTCCCTTCTCTGCCATTGTCCATTGACAAGCTGGTGGATATAGCTGTGTCGTCACTATTTCTCTTTTTCTTTCGTCCTTCTCCTCCCTCAAATATCTTGCTATGGCATTCACTCACATAACATGAAAACCTTCTATGAAATTATGAACCAAAGCTTCATTTGTTGTTCCAGGTGAGAGATGTCGGAATTTTTTTTTTTTTTTGGAGAGGATTTTTGCTATACGGTGCGTGCACTCGCCAGACAGAGAGAAATAGAGAGACAGAAAGCGAGAAATCACCCCCCAGGGAGGATGGCCATGCCGCAATCCCTTCTCCTCCATTCTCCTCTTGGGATCTTGGGCACGCATGCACACACGCCTGGCGTGAGTTTAAGCCACCAGGTCTGGGACGCAAACCATGGTCGACTACATGGGAGTCCAGTGACATAGCCACTACGCTAACTGCTAGTCCCTAAATTGTTTTACATTCTCTATAACAACTGCTACTCCTATTTTTTCACTTTGTTTAGATGCCAAGAACAAGGAAGACATTGGTAAAGCAGTTTATATTCAATGACTCTTCTAGCAAGATTATTGCCTGCGTTGCATAGAGACATATTTATGAATTTAGGCTGTGTGTCAAGATATATAAAAAAGTACTTTATTTTTAAAATGCCAAACAAATGTAAGGAAGTTTTATTATTATGTAAGCAGCATCCCATCTAAGGCTGGAAAAAAAAATACATGATCACAACACAATTCATGTAGGTCAGGCAGGCAGAGGTTCTGGGTAATATTAGCCTTTGTGCCCATTGTTTTTCGATGTTCCTATCAAAATAAATCCTTTGTGTTCTGATTAGGTACAAAGTTGGTTTAGTCCCAGTTTCAGAGTAATTGGAACTCGCTGGGGAAGAGGCCAATATGGGATGGCTTCTGGACACTTGCTACTCCCAGTGTGGTGTATGGACCAGTAATGCCGAGATCACCTAGAGGAGGGACCAGCAGTTAGCGTAATGGCTATGTCGCTGGACTCCCATGTAGTCGACTGCAGTTCATGTCCCGGACCTGGTGGCTTAAACTCATGTTGGGCGCGTGTGCGTGCGTGCCCAAGATCCCAAGAGGAGAATGGAGGAGAAGGGATTGCGGTGTGGCCATCCCCCTTGGGGGGTGATTTCTCACTTTCTCTCTCTCTGTCTCTCTCTTTCTGCCAAGCGCACGCGCCCTATAGCAAAAACCTCTAAAAAAAAAATAAAAATCACCTAGAGGTTTACTAGAAAGACAATTGCCCTATCCCCTCCCCATACCCACGGAGTTGTAATAACTGGAGATGTGGCCCAGGAGTTGAGTTTTCACAGGCTTTCCTGGTGGTTGTGATGCTCGCTGCAGGTGGACCGCACTGCCCTTCCACTCGGGGTCCAGCCCTCTTCCTGGATGTCACAGCACATAAAGGATATGGGGACAGGAAGTACAAGCATGGGATCTGGAAAGAAGCAGCAGTGAGCTGAGTCCCAGCAGTACCTCCTAATCATGACACCCCGCCTCTCCAAGGCTCAGTTCCTTCCTCTATAAAATAAAGAGGCAAATTGGACTTACCTGGTAGTTGCCTTAAATATTAACTGTCTGACAAATCGTGAGTGCCTGGCAAATAGTAGCTGGCATTGTTGCTGCAAACGTGTGTAACTGGGCAGCTGACGCATGCATGCAGAGGCCCCGGATCACATGCACTGGCTTTCTGTAGTGACCAGCAGGGCAGTTAGTGGCTTTTCTCTTTACTGACTCAATGCTGTAGGTAGGATCTTCTAGCTGAGTGGAACAGTAAGCAAGTGACACTGCCCTAAGTGGTGGGTATTGGTGTAAGAGACCCTCATCATCCGGCCTGGTCCTACCTGGTAGTATGTTTTCTATAACGTACCACCACAATTTATTCACGCAAAACAACATACATGTGAGGGCTAGCCCGTGATGGGTAAGGCACTGGATTCCACATGGCAAACTGCACAATTCAAGTCTCGGACCCTACAGCTTGAAAAAACAAACCAGGTGTGTGTGTGTGTGCGTATGTCTGTGTGTGTGTGTGTGTGTGTGTGTGTGTGCATGCCCAAAATCCCAAGAGGAGTGTCAAGGTCATTCCCCCTGGCGAGTGATTTCTCGCTTCCTCTCGGTCTCTCTCGCTCTCTTTCTTTGGCAAGCGCATGCACCCTATAGCAAATTAAACCCATGTACACACGCATTTTTTAATCTTGTAATCCTGGAGGTAGGAAGTTCAGATACTCGGTCTTTCTGGGCTAAAATCAAGGTGTTTTTCGGTGTACTTCCTTCAGGAGACTTTAAAAGATGACTCATTTCCTGGCCTTTTCCAGCTTCTAGAGACCACCCACATCCCTTGCCCCGTGGCTCCTTCCTCCACGACCACAGCCAGTAGTTGTATCCCTCCAACCTCCATTTCCTTTGTCATGTCATCTCTGACTCTTCTGTCCTCTCCCATCTTTTAAGGCTCTTTGTGACGGCTCTGGTCCACCCGTAGAGTCCAGGATACTCCTTCTGCTCTCAGATCCTTAATTTAATCCATCTTAACTTAAGATCCTTAATTTAGTCCCTTCTGCTGTGTAAGGTAACGAGTTTGCTGTTCCAGGGATGAGGGCAGGGACATCTTTGGGGGACCATTATTCTGCCTGCCACACTGTTCTTGCCCCTCCAAGCATGCAGGGAAACTCCTCGGATGAGACTAAGAGCTGCCGGGGTCCTACGAGGTTAGCCAATCAGAGCATCTCACTTCTCACTCAACCATGTGCAGGTTTGCTCTAGAGAAGGTGCAGAGGCTGGACAACGGAGGACCCTGGTCTCAAACCCAGTTCCTGGAGGCCAACCCAGTGGTCTCACCAGCAGTCGATGTCTGACACAGAGAAGAAGCCCACAAGCTTCCAGCAGTATCAAACCATAATAATGCAGATCTGGACTTCCTAAAAGATAACAAGGTCAGGCATCCATGGAGTGCCTCAGTCTCCCTCTCTGCACAGGAGTATATTGTGTTTTCTCCCTCTCTAAAAGCCATCTCTACACTCTGGAGCGTCCCTAAGCATGGATGGGCTATCTGGTCTCTTATTAATCACTGCCACTTCTCCTGGAGCAGGAGACAGCATGATCTCTCACACACAGCAATCATTTCTTTCTCTGGTAAAGACAGTAATCTGGGGAAGGGCAATTATCTTGGCAGAATTACCAACCTTGCAGTGTGACATTATCAACTGTTGGAAATTACACGGTATTCATTTGCTGCTATTTTAATGTCTGTCGTTTTCTATTCCCCCCTTCCCAGCCAATGCTAAAACCCCCACCCTCCTACCCTCTTCCTTTTTATTAATCTGGGAAATAACTTCTTTATTTTTAGCATGCCGATGCCGCTAGTAGGAATATGATATTGAAGAACATAATAAGGACGTTCACACTTTCAGCTGGGGCTCAGCCACCACCCATTGGATCTTTGGGCTGAGCTTCCAGGCTTTTGTCTCTGCTAACAAAGAGACGGATGGCAAACACCCCCATGGCTGACTTCATGAACTGCCTAGTGCTATCAGACTGAGTGATACTGAAAACCAACTGCCAAGTGATGGGGGTCCCTTTCCTAGAGCTCAGAAACAAGGCGAAGTTTTAGTGAGGGCGTGCGTATGTGCATGTCTTTCAGGGTGAGGTGAAGAGGGGGAGGCTGCTAACGTCCTCCCCAGGCAATGCAATGAGCATGACATCAGAGACAGAAAGCCAAGGGTAAAGTCCCACTTGTACCTCTGAGTTTAGCTGTGCGGTATGGGCAAGTAATGAATCCTATCTAAACCCTTCCCTAAATTCTTTTTAAAAATTATTTCTTTAATTTTATGTACTTATTATTGTTGTTATTTAATTTACTATAAGTCATGTGCACTCCTGAGAGAGAGAGAGAGAGAAGGAAAGTGGGAAAGCAAGCTCCCGGGTCTGGAACTCGAACTGTGGTCAGCCATGTGGAAGTCCAGTGACTCAACCACCATGCAACCTGCTGACCCTTAAATCTCTTTTTCCAAAATCTATCAAATGGGAAATAGAATGTTGAGTTCACAGATAGCAATGGAATTCATGTAAAGTAGAGAACTGCATTTAAACTGGGGTTTATTATGAAACCAGAATAGTTAACATTTCTTGAGCAGTTATTAGGTTCCCGGCCTCGAACTATGCCTTTTACACACGCTATGACATTTAATCCTCCAAAACAGTCTTAAGAAGTTGATGCTATTATTATTCATCTTTACAGATACAGAATCGGAGTGTTCATACTATTCAACAAATTATCAACTTCTTGTATAGTAAGTGATAGAGCCCAGGTATCTGCTGTTGTTTGGTAGGGCTTCTGCTCTGACGACCAGGACAGTAGAGGAAGTTTTTCACTGGGGTTCTCTTCCTGACTTTCTATTCCCTTCTCCTATCCCACCCTTGGTTACTTCAAGTCCCTCGGCCTGTTGGAGAAGAGCCAGTGACAAAGTGTGAAACGGACAGCCCCCAACGGCTCCCAGGCCATTGCTTGTTAATACACAAGGGCTTCTGGAAGGTGGGAAGCTGCCTTCCTGTCAAAACCAACTGACTCAAAGAGGTAGAGATTTTAGGCCACTGATCTGTGACTTCTGATGTTGGAGCAGCCTGACCGTTTACTCAACCAAGACAGCGCCACCTGCTGGCTAGCCCTTCTCTCCCGCACCGGTCTCAGAGCAGCTTGGCCAATGGCCAAGATCAGAGGGAACGAGGGCGAGCAGGAAGCCATTGAGAGGAAAGGACCACCAGGACTCTTGTGAGCGAAGCTTCAGAGATTCTGTCTTCTATCTCAGAAGAAGGTGCCTTTGTGGAGGCCCTTAGCACTTTGCAAACACTCTGCTTTTTGAGATAGAACTGATAATACCAGAGTTACTGACAGGCTTTGCCTGTGATGAGTATTTACAAAGGCTTATTCAGGACCTTCCTTCTGGAAACCGCTGAGCCCTTGATCCCATTATCCTCTCAGTACTTACAGGAAATAGTTAGGGGACTAGCAAGGATTAGAAGTCCAAATCTCTGATGGAAGGGATTGCACCACATGGTAATGAATATGAAACTTGGCTCAGCAATACTTACTGGCTGTGTGACTTTGGGAAAATCACTTAACTTCTCTGAGACTTTCTTTCTCTATCTGTAAAATGGGAGTAACAATAATGTGCTAAACTTCATGTGGTTATTATGCAGTTTAAATGAGTTAGGATCTGTAAGCTGCTTACACCAGTGTCTGGCTCGACAAGCACTGTCTAAGTGTTTTTTAGTAAGTGAAATTTTAATGATGGAAGTACAATCTATGTGAGGAAGAGGGTCCAGCATGTCCCTCTTATTATTAGAGACAAACAAAGGATAAAACATTTCCCGTGAATTACCGAAACGTAGTGAGGAATAGTGAGGGCAGGTGGAAAGATCTCAGGCTTTGGAGAGAGACCAATCTAGGCTAAAGCCCACTCCAGCACTTACTCTCTGAGCTACCTTGAGCAAGTCACTTCACCTCTCTGAGCCTTGCTTCCCACGAAAGGGGACGATTGTTTCTAGCTGAAAAGGCTCACCAGGACCCTCAGTCTGAGTGGCTCTATGTCACCAGGCATCATTGCTACCATTGTCAACCTGCAGTGTAGGAAGAATCAAGAAGTCAAAGCAACCTTTAAGTCAGAGATTCTAAGTGGAGACTCTAGGGAGTATGTCAGGATTAGGCAGAGAGAGCTGAATATAGAGTTTAAAAACATAATCTTATCATAATGCAATCTGATATTTGGAAAATGAAAAACAACTCTTGGGCCAGCCAGTGGTGTGGTGATAAATGCAACTGGAACCCACACGGCTGAATGCATTGTCAAAGCTTGAACCTGGCAGATTGAAAAACATGCCAGGCATGTATATGTGCCCCAAATACTGACAGAATGGAGAGATGAAGTCGAAAGGATTGCAGCATGACCATGCCCCATGGAGGCTGAGTTATCACTTTCTCTCTCTCTGTCTCTCTCTGGTGAGTGCATGGGCCCTGCAGCAAAATAAAAACAAACAAAACTCTTGTGTTTGAAATACAGACTAATGAAAGTGAGATTCATATCTCTCTGGGGAAAATGACTCCCTGGGGAAGTTGTCAGATCAGAGAGTCAGAGAATGGGCTGGGGAGATTTTATTCTTCATATCTCTCCCTAGCTGGTGCCTAGAAAGTCCGGAAGTCATATATATCATAGATATAAATTTTTAAAAGATTCACAGACAATAAACTCATCTGTACAAACATCTAATCCCTGATAATTAGATTTACTTTTCAGTACTGAGGCTCTGTTTACTGATGCAGGATATCCAGTTATTTGCAGGTAAACCAGTCAAATACAGAAATGTTGACATGCTCCCCTAGAAGTCCTGAAATGTCATTTGAAGTTGGCCTCTGGTCATACTCAGGATAGTCTCCCATTCGCTGTCCTTCCCTCTGGGTTTAACGTTAAGCTGGAGGGAGGCTGGGCCAGCAGGGTTTCCACAGATGCACTGAGAATTAGGGAGGGGTGGGCACCCACTTCTAGACCTAGATCTGTCTTGGCCCAGAGCAACTGTTTCTCTTCTTATTCTTGGGCATGTCTCTACCATAGACATCCATGAGACACAGCTCCATCCTCCTCCAGTCCCAGGGATGGCTACTCATGTCAGCTCTGGGCCGGTTTTCTTTCTAGCTCCGAGACTCCTTGTCACCCATCAGCACCCTCACTCCTTTTATCTAGCATTTTGTTTCCTCTTTGGGGGTGAGACACAAAAACTTTAGTTGCTCTCCTTGTAGAATTATCAGATTTAGTCAATAAAAGAACAGAAAGCAAGCCAACAGATGGTGTGGAGGTTAAGGTGCTGGACTCCACATGACTAGCTGCATGGTTTAAATCCTAGACCCAGCAGCTTGGAAATCATGCTGCGTGTGTGTGTGTGCATGCCCAAAATTCCAAGAGGAGAAGGCATTGTGGCATAACCATTCCTCCCGGAGGATGTTTTCTACTCTCCTCTCTCTCTCAGGCTCCAGGAAGTACATACATCCTATAGAAAAAAAGAAAAAGATAGGAAGCCCAGTTACATTTGAGGTTCAAAAAAATAATGAATACTTTTTTAGCATAAGTATATCTATAATATCTCATGGGACATATTTATGCTAAAAAAGTATTCGTTTGTTTATCTGAACTTCAAACGTAACTAGGTGTCCTGAATTTCAGCTGGCGACCCTACCTTCCTGGACTTACAAAGCCGTGGGAAACTCAGGAAGCTGTCTCAGCCTTCCCCAGCTTTGGCAGTCTGTACTATCTGACCCTAAGGCTGCTGTGTTGTGCTAGTACAAAGGAATTCTCAGTGTGAAAATAAAGGAAGACCCACAATATGAGGACAATCAAAGTTTTATATTCAGTTTGCTATCGCAGGGAGTTCGTCAACGGCACTTGGGTTTTAGCAACAACTCAAAGGCAGACAAGAGTGGGAACACTCTTGATAGTGGATAAAAAGGAAGGCTTCATGCCCGATTGGATGCCATTAGCACAAGAAATCTGCAGGTGAGATAACTAGAAACAGGGCATCCTATTGGATGGAGTAGGGTGCTTATTTGACTTTTTCTGATTGATCCTACGTCTGAAACAGGGCGAGGAACTGTCAGTTACTAACCAAGACCTGGCCATTTGGAGCAGTTGTTGTAGGGGTTTTTCCTTCTGGGCTGACTGCTAGAAATAGTGATCTAACTTCTTACAAGTCTGTCTAACCTAGAGATAGTAGGCCGACTTCCTGGATTGGCTAATGTAGATAGGGGTTTGTTTTCTGGGTTGGTTGTTGCAGGTTGTGGGTCAGAGTTCTATTTTTATATATGCTGCGGCTTTTGTCCAAATGTCCATTCAGTCTCTCATCTATGAGATTTACCATCTCCCCGGATTTTACTAAAGTGTCTTCTTTGAGATATTCAAACTGTTGATAAATGGGGATGGGACTTAATGCAGAAACTGTGACTCACATCTAAAGCAATGATGGGGCAGGACATGGCACAGTGGTAAGACAGGATGCTCTCTATGAGTTTGACACACGTGGTCGTGTTCCAGATTCACATCCTCAGACCTCCCTGAGTATGCTGGGCACGTGCATGCCCAAGCTCCAGGACTACTGAAGCTGCAGCTTGATTGTGGCATCAAGACCCTGTTGGGGGTGTTGTTCCTCTCTTTGTCTTTCTTAATCATGGAAGAAATAAGTAAAAATTTGCACCAACTCTAAGAAGCTGGTTCCCACATAGCTGACCACAGTTTGAATTCTGACACTGGTGGCTTGAAAAATATGCCTCTGTGTGTGTGTGTGTGTGTGTGTGTGTGTGTGCTTGTGTGTATGTCCAAAATCCCAACAGGGTGGCGAAATGGAGAAGGTATTGTGGAGTGACCATACTCCATTTGGGGGGGAGGGTGTTTTCTCTCTCTCCCTCAATCTCTGTATCTTCAGTGAGCACATATGCTCTCTGGGAATAAAAAAAGTATTTTAAAAAAAGAAAGAAAGAAATTTTAAATTAAGAAACAATAAAAAAATAAAGCAATTGCATATCTCTAATTATTCTCTTCTCCCATGGTTTTATGGGGTTGGGTAAAAAAGGTAGAGAATGAGAAAATTAATACAAAAAAAAAAAAAACCTTCTTGATTACGTATACTTTCCAAGCTTTCCTTACATGTCAATTGAAACTTTTCACCTTAAAAGTCAAGAATTTCGGATCTCTGCTCTTAGATATCTTTGTTCACCGAGGAGGCCCAGAAGGCACTCGCTGCAGTGGCTGCTGGGAATCCACCTCCTCTCCTCCCTCCAGTTCTCACACAGATGCAGACACTGACTCAGAAAGACTTAGCCTCCATTTTTAAGGATTTTCAGGGAATTTGTAGAGGAGAGTGTATCAGTCAGGATTCCATCAGACAAGCAGAACCCCTAGGAAGTATGTGTAATAAGGAATTTGTTACAGGGACTTGACTCCTCGAAATTAAGAGGGCTCATTAAATAGTCTCAGTAATGTCTTCATGTCTGATGCTGGAGTTTGAGGTCCCCAGAGAAGGCATTTGGAAAGGGAGGATGGGCGTGAAATGGGAGAAAGCAAGGACAAGCCAGAACCCACAGGACAAATGGGAGCCCATGCCAGCTCTCACTGCCTATAGCCTTGATGATGAGCTTGTCCTGCAGGTGCTGGAATCCTTTGTTGAAGCTGAGCACATACCTGGGCCAGAATCAGAGAAGTTGAAGAAGGATCCAGGGCAGGACCAGCAGTTAGCATAATTGCTATGTCGCTGGAATCCCATGCAGTCGACCGCGGTTCGAGTTCCAGACCCGGTGGCTTAAAACTCATGCCGGGCGCATGTGTGTGCATGCCCAAGATCCTGAGAAGAGAATGGAGGAGAAGGGATTGCAGTGTGGCCATCCCCCCTGGGGGATGATTTCTCGCTTTCTGTCTCTCTGTCTCTCTCTGTCTGGCAATTGCACATGCCCTATAGCAAAAT